TATTGTTTTGTGCTTTTTTCCCCTTCATCTTCCCATGGCACTTTCATTTGGGTATCTCGTGGGGCGCTCTGGGATCGCGACAAGGCGTACCGCTTCTTTTTGTCGTGCAGGTCAGTGGTGGCCAGGATCATGTAAGTCAGTCAGTCAAGGGCTCTCCACCCAATATTGAGTCAAGGGCCACGGATTGGCAAGGTAAAATACCTAATTGCATGTAGCACCTCGTGCGTACACGTATACTCGTACGCAAAACAAGCATACGACGACAAGTAGGTATCGTATCTCCAGAAGCCGGCAACAGGGAATTTGTTTTCCCGGAGTATACGGAGTATACGGAGCTCCAGAAAGCCGTGACGCCTGTGTTCCCATCCTTGAGCTTGAGCACAACAACTCCGAGGTCAACTTTGGGACTTTGATCGCCCACGAGCGTTTCCCCACAGGGCCTTATCGGGGAGCAAAGGGCGAAGCAAACACAGCCTTATTCCCGAACAGACCAGAGCATCTGCGTTGCCACTTTGCGAGTGCCGCGGGCTTATTCGAGATGTGACAGATTTGCGGTCTTGGATTCTCCCAAAAGTCAAAAAAAAAGCCAAAACTCCGCATCTCGCTGTCTTTCCGTCTCACTGGTCTCTCTCTCTCTCTCTCTCTGCCGCGCAAATCATCTCGGGCTATACTTGGCGAATGTGCGCAAAAGACCGCACGCGAAAAGGCCGGGTCTTTCGTGCTCCGTAACCTACACCTTTCATCTCCCGCCCACATCGAAGGCGAGCGAGAGCCATCACAAAGAGGCTAACTCGGGAATAAAGGCGAGAGATCCAGCTTGAACTTGACTTAGTCAGAACTTGGCTCTCCCGTACCCGACAGCCATACAGTAAGCTCCAATTTGCGCTCGGGAGATGGCCGAGTTCCATTTTACCCCTCCCCCTCTGGGTGCCCTCTTTTTTAAGCTGCTCCCGGGCTTCTGATTGGTTCCCAGAACGCACCCCTTGGGCCAATTGGAGCGACGAACCCCCCGCGTTTCTCTTTCTCAAATTCTTTTTTGCCCTACTTTTTGGGGGCCTGGTTAGTCAGTGGTGACTAAACCGCTTCCGGAATTTACACATCGAAGCTTGCTAGCCTGCGCCTTTTCTCTTCCCCACCTCCCGCTTCGATTTGCCGCCAACCTTGGGGGGTTCTCCACAATTGGGGCTCGTGTTTGTCGGGGCCTTGCAAATGAGGTCAATCAAAATACCCCAAGAGACCCCAAAAAGAAATCTGCCGCACAAGCTCCAAGAGGCGCAAAATGCGTATCGAAGAAGCGTCTCCACTTTCGTCCGTCCTCGTCTGGGACGCGGCTCGCCTGGATGTACTTTGTATCCGTAACTGTATCTTTTTGGCATTGGGAACTTGGACTTGGGCCCCATATCTTTAACCTCGCTTCCGTCTCAATCCTACGGTACGTACCTGAGGCTACCGCCGTGGTGGGAGCCCTTTTTAGTGGTGGCATTGCAACTGGAGCCCAAAGAACGGAGCATGTACACGTACCCTGTAGTTGCCAAACCGACGACGTATACTTGGTACAGTATCTGGAATAATTGCTCGGTGTTGTGTAATCATCTTCGTCCTCGCTTAGGATAATTACAAACGATGGACAAAACATTGATCAAATCAAAATCGGGATGCAGATGGGATGCAGTTGCTGGTGCTGATTAATGCCAGGAGGTGATTACAATTCCACCATCTCATCTCTGCAGGATTCCAGGGTTGATCTGTGTCCGATTTGGACCAGTTCATCAACTTGCCATGGGGTTCGGCGTTCCAATGGGGAAATTATACAACACAAGAGAAGTACACCAAAAGGAATCTGAGACATTCGTGTTCCAGGTCGTCGGAAGCGGCAAGCGACGGGAAGGGCATCGCACACCACCCCCCTCGCTTCTACAACGTGCTACCGCTGGCAAACAGCAAGCGCTCCATTAATCTATTTGCCTTTTGAGCTTTGTTCGCTTTGGGAAAACAGGGTGTAGTTTGGGCATGTCCACAGACAGCTTTCGGGGGAACTCGAAGAGCTTCAAAAGGTATGGGTTGGCGACGCGTAAGAAAAGAAACGCCGCCAATGAATGATGTGCAAAGGGCAGATTGGCCGCATCTGGGCCACCCATGATGTGCGTGCCGTGGCCGTGCTAAGCCTTGTCAGTGGTGCATCATCAGCAAAGAGAAAAGCTGGGTTTTAAGCCGCACGCCAAGTGCTTGCGCGCGCGCGCGTCTGCAAGGTTCAAAGGTGAAGGGTAGGGGGAAAACCAAATACCTCGGAACGTGATAATCGGGGGTGTGTGCGTTCTGTTCGTTCGTCTGTCGTCGAAATTGCATTGTTACTGGTAATCAATCCTCGGGACTTGTTTCCTCCGGAAGCCAGATTCAAACGACCGGGCGCCAAAACGGGAAATTTGGGGTTGGAAAGGTTAAAGCCAATGAATGGCTTTCAAGATTTGGAATTGCGGCGCCAGGCGGCCGCTGGTAAAGTGCACACAGCCTGTGCTGGTGTTTTTTTTTTTTTTTAGGTACTTATACCTTGCTAGTCCTACGACATGGTTTAGTTAGTAATTGGGATAAAATCAAGGTCCGATATCGTGCATGGCCGATAGCCGTAGCAGGTACCTTGGGAGATTCGCAACTCGGCTACTCAAACGGCAAAAGCAGAAGAGAGTCACAAAATGACCTCAAAGGTTGATATCCGTATAGCCGCGTTGCCAAACGAGACAGACGAGAGAACAGAACCCACTCCCTTTCCCTTTATTCCCCTTTGCGCGCCCTAAATGTACATGTCGTTCTCGCTTGCACACCAACTCTGGGCTTGTTCCATTCCACCCCCGTCATCCGGCTACCCTTCTTTTACAACCTAGGTGCCACCTCACGGGACATGGACAAGGACGTGACATTTACGTACCTAGGTAGGCATTGCATTTTCGGTATCTCATCCTTTCGCCTCAACGTGCGACGAACAGCTCTTCGCACCAGCCGTGTGCCTAGTGCCTGGGGGAGAGAAGGCGCCCAAAACTGTCAAACGTCTTGTAGGAGGCAATCTGCGTGTGTGTCTGTGTGTTCTGCTACTGCAGCTGCCGGCGCGCATCTCAGCCTTACCACGTCGTCCGGCAGTGCCGTTCTAAAACAGCGCCAAAGAATGACAGCATCGTCATCAAACACCTCCTTTTCTGACTTGCATCTTTCCCCGAATGGCAAGTTTATAAGGTTCTCACGCGGATGATTGGCTGCTCTCCCTTCTCCCCCCCCGTCTCCTCTGATCCCCCTCTGGAACGTTTCCCGTCCTTGGCAAGAGCTGCGTCGAACCATGTACGAGTATGTAGTGCTCGTCGTCCTGCAAGTAGGTGTGTATTGGTGGGAAAAGAGGGAATTCTTTTCGTAGTCGTCGGCAAGCTACATGTACCTGGGACCCCCAAGCATCCGGAGCGGGCGCGCTGCCCTCCTCTCTCGTGCCGTGCTTCCCAAGCGAAGAGCTTAAAAACAGAAATCAAGTCAAGCACAGGACAAGAAGGGCGCAGCACATCCGCGGGAAGGGGAGGCTTGCCTGGAACGGAGCATGTCAAGGTGCTGCTAAACTAGACTGGTGACATCTCTCTCTACGAGTACTCTCTTGGCGAATGCGACAAGGAGGTGGTGGAATGGTCCAGAGTTCGATGGCCTTCACCTTGCCGGATCCGGTCGTTACTGTGTCGCAATGGTTGGCCCCCACGCCCGGGGATCAATTGATGCTGCAGCAAGAGAAGAGAGAGAGAGAGGGCAGCTTCGTCTTCGTTACCCGTACCGTTGCTGCACAGTACTGCCCGCGTAAAGCTTCAGATGATCCACCGGCGGCAAAGATGGGATGGGGAGACGGCCAGAAACAGCGCCCGTTTCACTCTGTTGGGTGCAAAGCCAAAATCTGGGTAAAAGTGGTGATTGCATGGAGTCGCAATGGAGTTTCCCAGGGACGACAAACCTCCGGACCGGATATCCAGACCCGGTGCCACGGAATGGGACACTTTCCATGGCCCTTTTTCTTTTCCAAGGTTTTTTTCTTCTTTTTACCTCGTCTCTCTTCCCGGCTATCTCTTTTTCCAGCTCGGTATTCCTTCTTTTTTGCTCATCCTCCGCGGCCGTGGGACCCCGCCCTCGCACGCACGCACGCACTGATGAGATCTCGGTGATGCCATTAGGGAACTCGATCATCAACAGCCACGGCGTGCCAAGCCCGGAGTCAATGCTTCTACTCCCCGAACGCTGCCCCTGTCACAAGGGGGCCGCCAGCGCCTGCACTGCACCGTACTGTACGAAAGTAATACGCACTGATCGCTGTGAGCGGCAGCATCACGGGTTCGTAACCTCGTCAGGAGGGAGTACGAGTATGCCTCGGCCACAAGGCGTTCGCCGTCCATCTTGTCACTCGAGGTTTAAGGTTCTTTTGTTCCCCAGGGGGTTCCAGACCGCCAGGCAGGATTTGAGGCTGAAGCTTGTGCAGTCTCTACCTGTACTCTTTCTCAATGCGGTGCCATCATTCATCCTTTGATTCAACTAATTTCCCAAGGGCCATTGTCGTGGCCCTATCAGTCCTTTCGCTTTCGCATCGACGCAGTTTCATTAGTAGTGACGAGCAAGTCGCTAGCAGCATCACGACCCTTCGTTTTGGGGGCTAGTTTGACGGGGCGGGGCCGGCTGTCTTTGCCTTTGCCTGGGAGAAGCGGGTAGATGAGGAGCAGCTTCTCCGTGACGGACCAGGGTTGCGAGTACTTGGTTTCATTCACATTTTACGGTAGTTGCATAAGTATCCAGTACCTCGAGTTTGCTTGGCCCTTGAAGCTTGTTCCGAAACGGCAAACCGTATTCAGGGCGGAGCCTGATTGGTAGCCCCAGAGATTGTGGGCTAAATCTTGCACGTCTTCCCAGGGCCGATCACGTGAGGTGCCGCTCTTCCCACGCCCTCGAAGGGGGTGGCAGAAATGCCGCAATGCCGCAATGCTCAATGCTCAATGCTCAATGCTCAATGCTTCTCTCTCCTGCAGACGCCGCAGACGCAATCATGCTACTTTACGGAGCTCCCAGCCCAGACCCCCCTCGTTGTGGATGCAGATTTGATCGACGAGGAGGCTCCCCCCGTCGTACGATTTGAGAAACAGCTCATTGGCGCTGCTGCATCTGCTGCAGCCCATCTGCTTCAGCCAGAGACCCTGCTGTTGCAGTTGCAGTTGCAGCCTGTCGCCGGTCGACAACGCATCGTGGTGCCCTACGAACAGACCGACACTAGGGGGAGAAGAAGGGAATTTGGAACAAACAAATAAAGTAAAAAAGAATTGCTCAAGTCACAGAAGCAATTAGGTATACGAGAGCTCCGTTTGTATGCTTTTGCGTTTGAGGCTAATCAAAAAAGGGAGAGCAGCAGCTCACCGAGCTCAGATTAGTCGTCATGCCTGCTGCTTTGTCAGGCTCACACCGGTTCATCTGTCTGCCTGACCCAGAGTGTCGGTCGGTACTTGATTTCGGGCTGTAGGGCTGGGTGAGAAAAGAGATGCGACAATCTGGACCGTGGCCATAGCTCTTGGACGCCGCCAGGTTGACTTCGCTACCCGATACAGTGCAGTGCCACGACAGAGATGCGGCCCCCAGCTCAAACTCGCCCATCCTCTGCTGTTCCAAGCGGTGAGTCTAGCAATTAATTCAACGTCTCTTCGGGGATGCCGAGCGGGACGCTGTGCAGCGGGCGTACGCGGTGCGGGAGGTCTGGGCAAGGATGTTGTTGGCCAGCAGAATCCCAGGGCTCTGTCCGTGGCCGCCCATTGGCTGCCCTGGCCGCATCCTGGCATCGACCTGTGCTGTCTTCTGGGACGCGGTGGGATGGCCTGGCCTGGTTCAGCCCTACGTTCTGTTCACTCCCCTCCTCTTCCCCTGATCCTTGCCGTCGCATCTGTGCTAACTTGGTTTAGACACGCCCCCCCCCCTCGCAAGGGTTCTTTTGGAACAGAGGCGCCAGAGCCTTTTTTGAACGATCCAATGATCTGCCTCCGCTCCCCTCCCCGAACCCCTCTCCCGGGAAGCAGACAAGGTGCAACGAGACCGTTTGGTTTCCATCTGCGGGCCAGGCAAGACGTGGCGTTTCCCCTGCCATTGGCCGCGTTGCAATGGGTCGCCGTCTCGAAATCGGTGGTGCAGTGCCAGAGATTCGGCGAGCAACCAGGGGAAACTCCCCAGCCCGTTGGGTTTCCCACAGCGTTTACTCCTTAGATCCCCGAAACAGGTATCGCGTCATGGCTGTCGCTGGAGATTTGAGATGGCAGCTTGGGCTGTTTCGAGTCGCCGATATCCAGCTCTGCCGGTAATTGGTATTACCATCACTATGATCTTCCTTCTATCCTGTTATTTCGACCTTTCAGCGCTAGTAGGGGGAAAGGGGGATCCATCTTGAAGCTCTGTCTAGAGACTACGAAGATAGTAGGAAACGCTGCGACTGGCTTGCTTGGTCGCATGGAGCTATTGCTAGCCATGTTGGCATTTCGGCTCCTGTAACAAAGGACGGACACCGCCAAGTAGAGCAATACGGCTCGCCGTCCTTCCCTGGGATCCGACCGAGACTGGATTGCGTACGCAGCCCGGCGGCGGCTGTTACTTCCGCCCCCTCCCAGCAATCGCCTTCTGCTCCGATGCTTGTCTGCTGTCCCAACGGTCCGTCTCGTCGTCGTCGTCATGGCTCCAGGACTCCCCCCAGCACAGAAAGGCGGCGTCGAAGCTTGTTCGACGACGAGAACAACTCGTGCCCAGTGCGCTCATGCCGTGCAACCCGTTCACGCTGCGTCAATGGTGACCCTGTCTGGCACCCTGGTCCACCATTGGTGGACTTTGGCCAGCCGGCCCCATCTTGACTCTCGTCGACTGCTCCCTGGTCGACCGCCCTTTTTCAGTGCGGGAGCTTCAGTTTTGCGGGAGAAAAGGCGGGATGGGCACCGCCGCAGTGGGCACGCCTCGTGCGCTGCACTGCAACACACAGCACAGCACTGCATATGTGGGCTCTTGCCTGAAGGTATGGAGCCCGTGACAATGCACACAAACTTTGGGAGCTGGTGTGGGCCTCGAAGCACAGCGAGAGGCAGACGGACTGGCCACGGCAACAAGGGAAAAGAGCTGGCTGCATGCAGCTTCTGCAGTGTCCACGTTTCCCTAAAGCTTCTTGCCTCCCCGGAATGCAGCTTCAGTCGCAGCAGCCTGCAGCCTGCAGCCCACAGGGAGGTCGTGGACTGCTAGTCTTGTGGAGGATGCCAGCAACGCTTGGCGGTTGTCTCGTCGAGGCTAGGAAGCATACCGTCTAATTTTGCTGGTGCTGTCTTGCGTCTCTAGTTATTCTTGCGGTCACTGCGGACGAGATGGCATCGTGATATCACAAATGATAACAACACCGCCTTCAGTAGTGGCAATCAGGCTGGCTGTGTTTCATCAAGATGCTGCACTCTGCAGTGCTAGGCATGCGTTTGCCCCCTCCCCCTCCCCCTCCCCAAGTCATTGGCATACGAGTACTACGAATACCCGTACTGTGGTGTTTCTTTTGTCATTATCCTGTCCTTGTCACCACTGCAACCACCACTTGCTCCCAGCCCACCCGAGTGGGTAGGTAGCAGTACCGTGCACAGAGCATCCAATCTTGTCCCAATACCAGGCAACTGGGAATAACACGCACAGTACTGTTGTACTGGCACTGGCCGGTCCGAGGCCGTCCTTTTGCGGGCGCCAGGGAAGCTGGGAAAGCTGGGAAAGCTAGGAAAGCTGGGGACAGAGAGAGCCTGGCGAGTCCCGGGTTGCGCAGTGTCATTATCCAGGCCGCTTTATTTTTTTTTGCTCCAATACCGAACGACTTGTGAAATCGGCTGCATGCCAATTAATATCAGAGAGCCCGTCTATTCCTTCTTGTGCTACCCGAGATGTTTGCCATTGCCAAAAACATCTCGCCTTCTGCACCTTGATGCCGCTATTCTACAATGTGCCGCGTCCGCCGCCCTCAAATGCGAGTACGAGCCAGTCAATGAACGCCACTGCTCCTTTGCAGGACGGACCAGATGAGGTAACGGCTTTGTCCCTATCACTATTCAACACGTGCTGGCCTCTCCTCAAACCACGGCGTCGCCGTATGCACCTGCCAGGAGCATCTTGCATACAGCGTTGCATACAGCATTGCATACAGCGTCGCATTCCGGCCCCTTTGGGCAACATTGACGATGTATCTAGATTGTACCTTTAGGCAGCGTACACCGTCTTCTGAGCCGCGACTTTTACTCCCTGATACTACCTCCTTACTCTACCTCGCGTTCTACATCGGCCCATTATCTTCCCACCTCTTTCGTCTCTCTCGTCTCTACTTCATACACGCCAGAAACGTTTGGAATGGGCTAGCAAAGCGCCTCTTTACCCCTTTGCTGGCTTCTTCCTTTTTCCTTTTGCTCGGCATTGAAGTGGCGCTCAATGGAGCTTTTCTCTTCAGGCAGCCATCAGGTAAGGGCAACTTTCTTCTTCTTTTCCCCCCTTCTTTTTAGGGGAGCCGGCAGCTCTCCATCCCCCTAGTCGGAGCAGAAACATTGGGGGATTGGTCAACCCACGAATGACAGACGAAACTAGCCCTAGATGCAAAACTAACCAGCTAGGTTGGGCTTCGGTGGCAGAAGTAGTGCCGCCCACCGCCTGCTACAGCGAGACGGCGCCTCGAAATGTTAGGCACAAATGTTCAAGCTTAATAGAACTCTGTTTTTTGGGGGGGAAGTCCTGTGTGAGGTGGGGGAGTACGCGGGTAAAAGCATCGTGGGATATCAATCCACGTTGTCTCTTCCCCTTGGTCAGATCAAATGCAAAGCTGAACTAATGCTGGACTAGATATATGCCTCTCTTCCTTCCCGACGGCAAGCATCGGAGTCGGAAATGGTTGTTTCTGTGATTTGATGATCGACGGCGATCGTACATGTATACGATTGACTGAAAAGGGAATCTCGACAAATCGCTTACCCCGGCGACGGATCATACAAAAGGCACATCCACATCTCCGATGATGCCCCCGAAACGCTAACCATGGTTATTTGCCGAACGGATTCCTGCTCCGTGGCGTGCTAGCCTCATTCACGTCGATAGGACAGTTAAGTTGCTGCGTGCCCATGCCTTGGCGTGTTTCTGCTTCATGCCGCCTTTCTAGTATTCCATTCACCTTCTTTTCCTTCTCCTTGTCTCTGTCTACCCTGAAAATTGCGCCTTTGTAACATGTTAAAGCGTCGTGGACTACGTTGGAATGCCTTAGTGCTGGCAAGGTCTCCCCCTATACCTGGGCTTTTTGTTTCTTTTTTTCTTTTGCCTATAAACCCATGTTGTTTTCATGCATGCAGCAAAGGCAAAATCCTATCATATCATGTGTCTTGGGGCGTATGTGGTCTGTAAACGTGGCTCACGTTTTCCCTAGCCAACCTGACCTAGTGTCTGCTTTGGGGGTTCTGCCTGCCAAAAAGAGACATGGTATGTGACGGAAGAAGAGATGAGAAGCAAAAAAAAAAAAAAAAAAAAAAACTAATCAGTGGCCACGGAGATTATCTGTTCACACAAAACAAGACAGACGCGCCGGGGGTTCCCTCTTGGCTTTGCCGAGTGAAGCTATCTTTGACATAGTATTGACACGGAATATGGCTTCATGGAGTCTCTTCATGAATCATGCTGCCGGGGTTGGAGTTGAAGCGAGCATTGAATGTCGTCTTTCTGTGCTTGTTGCGGGGCCCAGTTGTCGAGTCAGACTGTCAGAACCATATCTAAAAGAGGCACGGCAGGCGACTCGTAGGCGGAAGACAAACACCCGGCTGCCGTCGCGATATCCGGCTAGGTAAGGTCGAAAGCTGCCAGGAGTATAAAGTACTATCACCGTGGTACAGAGTATGTAATGAAATGTGGGCTGGGGGGCTTGTGTTCCAATGGTTCCCTCGTTTCCAGAAAGAGTCTCATGCATGGACATGGCACCTTGATGTTCGCAGGTGAGTCGCCGAACGTCAAAGTTGAAACGGCGTCGAAGGAGAAGAAGGCGCCGTATCTACTCCGTACTGGTAGGACTGACTATCAGGCGTCTTGGAGCAAGCCCAGTGATTTGATTCCCGGATAGGTCGGCGATGGCTGGGATGGCCGTGAGCATGGGGGTCGGGGAGCCGCAAAACCAGGGGCCCTGTCTCTTGGACGATACTAGTTGACGCGTTACTGCACGAAAGTCTTGAGCCAGTAAGGGCCAAATCAAGGCGCCGGACCAATACGGAGCATTGGTACACACCATTTGGGCTCCCGAGAGAGATTGGGAGGGTTGGCAGAGCACGTGGGAAATATGCAGCGGGCGGCAAGGCCTAGTTGCCCGGCTGGAGATGTTCTTTCTCGCCAATTTATTTTTTTACAGGGACCGAAATACCTCAGAACGGGAGTGAGTACTCGCCGGCACAGCATTTTGCTTGTATGTTTGTGTGAAATTTGAGAGAAACTGGGCCAGGCCCAGGCCAGGCCCAGGCATGGTTCACACCCATGACCATCGTATTCCGTGGGATACCCACGGCAGAGGCGAAAGAGGCTCGTGACCCAGCTCTCCAAAGCAATGACAGGAAACCGTAGAACGATGCTACCGTATCTTCCAGATGCACGCGTTCTTGAGCTGAAAGAGCCGGCATGGGAGAACGGCATTCTCCAGAGAGAAGCCCCATGACAAAGCGCCCTCCCAGGGGTAAAGACCTGGTGCTAAATCCAGGTACCAGTCGTGTTTAGTAAGGTAGTACCTAACAAGAAAAGGGCCCCTTCGAGAGACGGGAGAAGAAGAAAGAGGGAGGGTGGCACTACTCTAGAGAACGTGGCAGCAGCGTGGGAGGGGGGATTTGAAAGGATTCTTCCCAAGCAGATCCCCCCGAGCGCTTGCAGATGTGCGATGCGACTCTGTGTTGGGACACGACCGAGTTGAAATTCGTGCACGGATGGGATCTTGGCTCTGTTGATTGCGAGGCTAAAACCGTACGGGAAGAGCATGTATTACATGCCACACTTTTTGTACGTGGGCCAGGGGGGAGGGGGGTCCCGATGCAACGTCGTGGGCAGTGTCAAAACGCTCAAGATGGCATGTCGAAAAGGACTGGATGATTAGCAGGCATTTGAGGAACTGGCGTCGCAGAAAAGAATCCACGGGGAGTGTGCGTGATTTGGGCCTGTTCACGGGCGGGTCGTTGGTTTGAGCTGAAGATTCAGAC